GAATATCACCTTAGATTCCACAGTGCTATTGATAAGGAGACCGTTGCCAACTGCTTTGCCGGGCAAGCACAAAATAACAGAATTTCCGCCATGTTGTGACCAACTGGAATCAAGTTAGCCACACCTTGTTTATAGATGGCTCTAGAAAAACCCTAACAATCTTTTGGACGGTTTAGTGTTGTTCTTCATCTTGTCTATGTAATATTCTATATTTAAACCTCAATCGTGTAGGCCTTCTGAGTAAATATGGCAACAGTTATCTCGAATATTATTTGATACAGTCACACAGAGGTGTGATAATCTAACTTCGATCTTTGTGACAGCCGCTGGATAAATATTCTTTAATTTCCTTCAATATATAATTTCATTAATTATCATTGATCTCTTCTACGTGTTCTAGTCGAATTCCATAAATCATTGGGCTATCCCATACAAGTACAGTACTCGAATCATCTCCTTGGAACACGATCAAAAAGACTTTCAAAAATTAAACTCAAAGCAATTTCAATAGCCTTGTCTAACGATCAAAAACATTAACAGCGAAGTATTACGTAGTCCGGGCGTGATTTTTTTCTTCCTCTCTATGATATATAAAGGGGATTGCCCTTGAGTTGACTTTTCGAAAGTAGTTGCAATCGCATTTATATTTTCCAGAATACAATGTAAATTATTGAACTATCCCATGCAATTACAATACTTGGATCAGATAGACGATTCGTATACGTCCTTTAAAATAAAAAATATATATGCCTACACATACTTACAAATAGCATAAACTCATCTCAAATCAAATCAAGCCATTTATTTAATTGGCAACGAAAGACTTACCGCGTGCCGTCATCAAACTGAACAGTATAATAAGAAGATTCTTTGTCGCTGACCCAACCATCCTGAATCTTGTGCAAATCCAGTAGGATCTTGAAGATAAATGAAGACAAACCTATTGCTTGGAAAGAAACCATTTTTAATTTTTTTTTTTGAAGAACCTGTTGCTTTATTTCATCTGGTATCGATTTTTTGTAAGACTGTTTTTGTTTTTATTTCTGTTGGTTATCAAGACCCACTTGGTACTGTAGTTGTAACAACGTGCCTGGTATGAATCGAATTCAAGATTTACAAATATCGTTTTTCTATGAAGGAAAAGAGATGGTGTCACTGTTACACAATAACAATTCACTTCGTCCTCTACCTGCTACCTGTTCATGTATTGGAAAATACATGGCCATAAACACTGCTCTCTGTCAAAGTTAATTCCTTAATTCAATCTGGTCTCAATAAACTTTACACTGACCATAACCCTTTACTTAACCTTGAACCACAAAGCAGGCCTTTCAGCAAACGTGGAATATACATGTATGAATTTCTTTATTGTCATTTAACTCATCAAACATGCAGCTAAGTGCTTACAATTTACAAATTACAAATACATTAGTAAGAAATTGTATAAACTCTAAGGATGTGTATGTTCATAAGGGCATACCATTAATGTCTAGTGTAATACTGCATGCCAAAGGATGGAACATGAATGCCATAGATAACATTTTTGACAAAATAGATGACCCATGAGTTTTCATTACAAAAAAGATTTCGATGAGTGAAAGAAATTATAATTTTAATCTATAAATCCTTCCAAAATTGATTGCTGCGTATACCTTACCTGTTAAGAATCACTAATGTTGTCGTCGAAAGCAAGTTGTAAGAATATTACAATCGAACCACAAACATTATTTATTACATAAAACCAAAATATTTTTCATTTTTCCCCGTTCCCTTTTTATTGAATTACAGTCATTTAAAACATTATTTATTCACCAAAACTTGGTGTCGTATATTCGCTATAAAAAAGACCTACCTATAGTATTAATCGATGTATTAAGAATAGTCACAGTAGGGATGACAATGATCCGAAAGAGTCCACACCATCTAATATTTACTCGAATTAAAGTCACCGGAGAAGATACTTTTCCTTCTCTTTCGTGAGGATTTCGTGCTAAAACTGTCAGGTAGTGTATTGATCAATTCTAACTTCTGCTTTTGATCCTGAATTTCAATAAATATTTGCAAATCTATATTTATGGTGCATTTATGAAAACATGATCTCGACATAAAGTACCCATTGTCAAACAAACCTTCAAATGATTATTGTGAAATACACACCCAGTGGCGGGTTGGTTAAAGGGGGTGGTAACAAGTCCGAAAATTCTCTGACAAGCAAAATAAACCAAAACATAAAAACAACAAACAAACTAGACCATTCTTCTTTTTTCATATTTCTCTTTTTTCTTCCATTCCCCTTTTTTGTCGAAGAACCCCCTTCCCACTTCTCCCGGTCTGCAGTTGACAATTTATGATAGGGAAATGAAATACTTCTTCAAAAGGAAATTACGAAATAATGGCTGCATTACATCACCCTGGAACAAACCCCGGAGAAACGTCAACAAACGAATAAACGTGTAGTTAACAAAAACCTCATGTTAAGAACCTTGTATATTGTCAACGACAGTAACGGCTAGTGGCGTACGTAAGATATTTCGCTCAGTGGGGGGGGGGGGGGGGGGGGGGGGGGAAGGAGCATGACATTTTTTTTTACCCGACACCCCCCCCCCTTTAGCAAACAAAAAATTGAGGGGGGTTTAACCCCCAAAACACACCCCTGCGTACGCGCCAGGTAACGGTCTTCTTAAAGGTAGCCGATGATTGGAGCACATAATATGTATTAAACAGTTAGAGCCAATTTTAGAAGCAAAGGGAGTCTGGTGACGGGAACATTTTGATGCACGTTTTTAAACCATGACTACTACTTGTGTATTTGAATCATGATATATATATGGACCTATTACACTAACACATCACGTAGTCCCCATAATTAATACAAAGGGTATTTAGTTCAGTTGAATTGCTCGAGAGTTGAAGCACGTTTTCAAACCTTTACTACTTGTGTCTTTGAATCATGATATACGGACCTATTACACTGACATATCACGTAGTCCCCATAGTTCATACAAAGGGTATTTAATTGAGTTGAATGGCTTGAAATTTGAAGCACATTTTCAAACCATGACTACTTGTGTCTTTGAATCATTATATAGGCCTATATGGACATATTACACTAACACATCACGTAGTCCCCATAATTATTAATACAAATGGTATTCAGTTGAGTTGATTGTTCGAAATTCTTTGCTCTCATGTTTTGGATGATTCGTGTATTGTATGTGCCTACAAATATTTATGAACAGCATGAACACAACTCAAATCAAGTCATTCATTCTCTTGGTCTGGTGTGAATTGCTGCATACAATCATCAAGTATTCTACTACCGGGTGTAGTGAGGAAACTACACATTCATCTTGTCTAGAACCATTTTTTTAAATGATAATAGGGACCAATTAACTAACAAATAAACTCCTGAAATGTCAGTTTCGACATTGGTCATTTTGGCATCACAGCTCGTTTGTGGATAACTTGTCTCCGTTTACATAGTATTGATTTGGTTTTATTTTCCGTATTAAAAACATATGTACATATGGATGAACATAAAAAGATACGGATGGATCGTCATGAAAATAAAATAAAAAATTGATCGCACAGTTGCGTGAAAGTGTAACATCAGCTTTATTCATATAAAAGGACGAAAGGATATGCGAAAATTAAAGATCACTTGCTTTTGATACAAAAAGAGCAATATACAGAATGTTATAAAAATATGAAATAAATCCTCATCCAAAAGAGTAAGAGCACATGAAATGCTAGTCTTGTATCACTAATATTAACTTCTGACGATTCGAACGTTACGCGAACGTACCTACTTGCATAACGATACATATAACTACAATTTCTTCGATATTGATCTGATTTTTATCATCTTGAATATCAAACTTACGTAAATGAAACGACGCCAATATCATGTTGTGTACCTTAAACTTAACCCCAAAATCCAATAAAATAAATATTAAAAAGTCCCTGCTATACACTTTCATCTTGGATAGATATAATAATAATAATAATGATGACATCTTTCTCTTTGAAAACCCAAATGTTCTAGTTTCATTAAGAAAAATAACCCATCTTGCCCCAAAGAAAGGGTCCCTAAAATGTTACATTTGTTTTTAGTATTATCATTATCATTATTAGTATAACTATCATTATAATCATTATCATGATTAGCATTCTTATCATCGTTATTATTATTACTATTATTAACATTATTATTATTATTATTGATATAATTATCATCTTATTATCATCTAAAATCAATATACCATTTCCCGATCTGACTTGACTCTCCACTGAGGGAAGAAACAAGACTATCGATTCTACTCTGTTATTCCCCGACGACATGTACCCCCCCCCCCTTCCCCCTCCATCGAGTGCACAAAGTCCTGAACACGTTACGTTTCTGATCGTTACACACGAGTCGTCAATTTGCTGACGTAGGATTACGTCATTAACTGGTTTAGTCTTTAATGCGCCCTATGAGGGCAACAATGCACAAATAAAAGGATTATAAAATCTAACATTGAACTCGTTGGATTACCGGGGTGCGTCTTATTTTTTCGTACCACGGCGAGGCCAGATCACTATGAATATGACTGACAAAGAAAGCGGACAAAATATACAGTTCCTCAGGTAGATAAAGGAACATCCCTTCACTGCTATTATTTAAAAATGTGTAGAACAGGTGTCACATGCATATTCACCTGTTCTACACAGTTTTACATAATAGCAGTGAAGGGATGTTCCTTTGTCTACCTGAGGAACTGTATAGATTGTCCGCTTTCTTTGTCCGTCATGTTCATAGTGGATTGATCTGTCATCAACTCATCGTCAGCTCAATCGGTAACGACAGCGTGTTACTAATATAACTTTGGAGTTGACGTGAGGGTTAGAATCTTATTTAGTTTTTTTGCCGTTATAAATAGTGAGGTAAAGCAATAAATAATCAAAGTCGAATTGTTTGTGACCTCTTTGCAAGCTTTCATAGCTTGTTATGTATGAAAATGAGTTCATACTGGAATCTGGCCTCGTCGTGGTACGAAAAAATAGGACGCTACCGGGGTATTGGCAAATTGCTGACATGAACTTGGTTAGCGCGGGTAAAAATGCTCGTTAAGATATAAAACCGCCACGGGTCTTTTATTATTACTATCGTTATAATTATTATTATTATTATCACTATTATAATTGCCATTTTTATTCATGTTTTATCATTATTATTATCATTATTAATGATGTGTAAAAAGGACTAAAAATAATGAAACCATAAACCTAAACCTGCAACGCACCGCTAACTTGCTTATACACATAGATATAAAGGTTCTCCATTTCATAAAATACAAGAAAATGAGACATAAAATGCTGAACAGGTAAAAGAGCTACGAATAAAAATGAAATTCTAAATATCATCGTCTGTATATTGTGTCAGTGGTAATTAATACAATTACTCTAACAGTTTTCACAAAATTTAATGGACACAATCCTTGCTCGGTAATAGAAGAACTATATTCAGCTGCATTAATAACATAAAGTGAGGAAACAAAAGAAGATATCGCGTTGATCACCTACCATTCAATGAATATTTATCTACATTATCAGAAATCTCATTATTTCATAAATTCCTCAGGTTAAAAAACACGTTAAACACTTTTTTAAACATTATTTTAAAAAGGCTAATCTCTATTTCATAACATAATATAATATTCAGCACTTGTTCACGTATTGCACAGTAAATATGCTTCTTAGTCTTAATAAAAAAAAAATTCTCGAAATACACTCAAATTGTCAATAGCCTCACGTTTAGTTTACCTCCTACTAAGTAGCAATATATCTGATCTATACACAGGGTCAAAATGGATAGGATGGATGAATGGATTTCTCTTTATTACAATTCCGAACCCTCCATTAATGTACTATTTGATTGTGCTAGCCAAACTTAAGTCGATAAATATTCAAGGTTTAGTCGATCGATGTTCAAGTTACCTCGTTTAGAAACTAAAACCATCAATGGCTTTTTAAAAAAAGTGCATATACCCCTTTACTATAACGTCCGACTAAATATGCAAAATTTCAGAAATTCTGCCGATTTCAAATAAATAAATATATATCTTATAGTACTTCATTTGATAAAGAAACTTCGTTCACATACAAAACAATTAGTAACATTAAAACGTCAATGAAAAATCACGCGAAAAAAGTTTGGAAACATTATAAATAACTTATAGGAATGCAAATATGTAATATTTCAGATGAGTTTGAACGTTAAGAAGACCGTCAATGATTAATTGTTTTGTTTAACGTGCTGGTCAAAACATCCACGCACGACACCATAAACAAAGCAGAATCACTTTTGGCAAATGACACTAAAATTCAAATTCATTATCACAACCCATGCTACAACCCACGTGATGACACCTTTACGAATTGATTCGAAATAAGTTTATTGGAAATATAGATAAAAAAAGGGAATTGTTTGATGACTACATTTAAGTGATGTATAAATAAACAGGAAAGTTGATAACCAACGACTCTGCACCATCAATAGCAATTTAACAGACATGAAAAATGCTGAATTTACTATGCAAATATGGTCAAACTCGTATTCATTTTAATGTCCCCAATGACCTTCTATGTATGAAATTATTAACATGTTTGAATTTATTGCATGTTGCTAGTTGAAAAACATGATTGTTTTATAGGTTAAAAGACTGCATGGGTTAATATTTTCAAACCATTACTACTTGTGTCTTTAAATCACCGTTATTATTTCTGTGTAGTTTCGTACAAAACGCAATCTGCCTTTAAAACATTTATCAAGTTTCATTATAGTACTGTTATCAAATCACCACTCGGCCCCGTCGTTTTGGTATGCAGCTCTAGGCAGTCTCTCAGGTTGGGAACGTACTATTGTCTCCGGGCGGAACCCACTGGAATCAGAGTTAGACATCAGCCTTGCATTTCGGTTGCCTCTCTGTCCCCTGAGCCTGGCCGAGCTATTCTTAAACGTCGAATTAGTTTGGCCAGAGCTTGAAGTGAAGCCGCCGGACGCCGCAAAAGACTTCGACAAGCAGCAGCTGAACTGTGAGCGCCATGTCCTGCGAACCTGAGGCTGGCGCATACAGTACAGCATGAAGATGAAGTACCCCTGCAGAGAGTTGAGGATGGTGAAGATTCCTTGGACGACCTCACTGGCCGGTCGGATGATGCTCAGGTAACCTAAAGACCACGTTAGGCCCATCAGGATCAGGATACACACCGCATTCTGGAAACGTCGAAGGCGCTGGCGCTTCTCCGTCTTATCAAGTTGTCTTCCTTTCACGGTTCTGTTCAATCGTATAATGACACGAATGAAGATGATCATGTTGAAGATCATGACGAAAGCAACTGGAATCAGGAGACCACCGATGAGAGGCCAGAATGCAAGGAAGCAACTACAAAAACAACAAAGACGACGTATACATATTCTTATTTCAATTTATTATATAATGAATTATCAATTATATTAATGATGAATCTGTATTAAAGATTGATTTCATTAAATTAATTTACTACGAACCGGACACCAATATTCTTCATGATATACCTTATAACCAGTGCAACAGTCCGTTATTATATTGAATTTAATCGACCTCATTCTATTTGAAATTATTACTACACAACAATGACTACTACTAAATAAAAATATGCGTAAAACATCAATGAAAAATTATGAATATGAAATTGTCATGTATGTCTCTAATAATTCTTACTATTGTTAAATAGCATTGATTGGACTATATGAATGTTGATTTTTTTTTTGTATTTAGCCATTACAGATCAGTCTAGGGACTGCAAAAAAAGAAGATATTAATTTAAATCCTCCAAACATTCAGCTATTTATGAAATGAGTAGGTTAGACTTCAAACAACCTTCACAGTTTGTTTGGGGTAGGAATACATAACACATTTAACGTGTCACATATATGGAGCCATGTTAACAGGATAGCAATTAACATCATATGCTTAAACAAATTGCGTTCAGTGTATTTAGTGAGGGTATTAACAGAAAATAATAAATCTATTGTACTCTATAGCGGGAAGTCATTTCAAATTGCCAAAGTTATACCAATATATAGAAAAGATGATCCGTCAATAGTGTCAAACTATCGTCCAGTATCGATTTTTGCGATTTTCTCGAAGATTTTAGAAAGGCTGGTGTATATTAAGAGACTGTACGATTTTCAACTACAAAATAATTTATTTAACGAAAATCAATTTGGCTTCAGGAAATTTCATTCCGCCGATCTTGCTTTAGCACAGTTGTACGACAGTGTCAAGTGCCTTGGCTAATCGTAATCATGTATTAGGAGCATTTATGGATCTTAGCAAGGCATTTGACACACTTGTAAACTTCGTAACTATAGTGTATGAGGATTACCTCTTCAATGGTTAAATGATTATTTACACCCCATAAAGCAATATGTATAGTGTAAATATGTCGAATCTAATTTATTACCAATCTCATGTGTGTCCCGCAGGGATCTGTTCTTGGTCTTGTGTTATTCTTAACTTATGTGTATGTATTTTAAACACACCTAACTTGTTGCAATACATCCTATTTGCCGATGATACTACTGTAGTTTATTCTGATTCTAACTCTCCTTCCCTTATTGATACCATGAATAATGAATAACCAAGATTATCTGCATGGTTTGAGTGCAACAAATTATCATTAAATTTGAAAAAGACAAACTTTATTCATTTCCAGAATGTAAAATCTGAGGGACCTGCTATGGAAATTCATAATGTGGATTGTGTGGTTATTTAAAAGACTAAAAGTGTTAAATTTTAATCGAGTTGTTATCAAGGACTCTCTGAAGTGGAATGATCATGTTAAATATATTGCAGCAAGAATACCACGTAATGTAGGCATATTCTTTAAACTTCGTCCCTATGTTCCTTCGAATATCTTATTAACGCTGTACAATACCATGATATTACCTTTTATTTCATATTGTAATTTAATATGGACAAACATTAAGTGGAATACGGATATTACTTATTTGTTAAAAGTTGTTTTCTCAAATGCTGGTTACCCTGACAGTTAATGATATCAAATTTCTACAAACTGCCATTTTCATTTTTCGCCTCTAAAAATATGTCCCTGTGACATTTTCTATTCTGTTTCAACTGAATAAAGATATATATATATTCATTCTACGAAACAATCTGCCTATTGCCATTTGTGCAATCCAAATACTGTTCTAGCCCTTAAATCTATTTGCCACACTGGCCCAGATATATGGAATTCCCTTCCCATTGATACCCGCACTGCGCTTTCACTGCTCTCTTTAAAAAAAAAAAATCGGTCAAAGCTTTTCTTCTTTCTAAGTACATGTATGTTGCATAACAGATATTTCCATTCTGTGTTACCATAATGAATATGTATTATCATGTAAACCAGTTATTGTTGTCATATCATTGTTATTTACTTGGTAATAACCGAGTTCGTAAACTGACCTACACAATCCCTTTTTTAAATGCAACAAAAACCTTTCATGTATTAAGACTTTTTTACTCAGTAGTTAAGTAACATGTGCCTATTTTGTATATCTCAGCATTTAAATAGAAGTAGCCGCATACCAATTTTTCCTCCTTCCATCCCTCATTATATATATATATATATATATATATATATATATATATATATATATAAATATATATATCTCCCTCTCTCTCTCTCCTGAAGCAAGTCATTTTTCTGTCACTTTTTGTCATTAAATTAAAATGAGAGCAATAAGGAGCGGGAACGTTTGTTTCATATTGTTCCTGATTGATTGATAGGTTACATTCTTGGATTCAATATAAAACTTACAAATCTGTCTGCGCGTAGTGCTCCCTCGCTGATCCTCCAGTGATTCCAACAATCACCAAAGGGACTCCTAAATGCAAGAAAAAAAAGGAATGGTTACTTTATTATTATCATTATCATTGTCATTATCATGATGAGGATCGATGGTGATCATCGTCAACATCAATTCTTAAAGGAACAAACGAAGGATAATCTAGACTTGAAGTCGTAGTTAATACTATGTTTTATACAACACATATTGCTCATATTGAAAGCCATTATCAACAGCTTGTTAAATTAAGTTTTAAAACAAACTCTACTTGCTGAGCACGATCCCAAAGATTTTCGAGGAAAATTTTCAATATCCTATTGAATATCCTTTAGAAATTTGTTCAGTTCAGTATGTAATAAGTCATTGTAATGTACACACTTTTCAACAGGTGATGGACAAAGCTATTGGAAGTTCTTGAGCTTGATTTTGGTTTGGAAGCCTTTGCGATCATGTTGGTAACACATTTTGGCAAAATGGCATTTAATCTATCAAGTAAAAAAGCAAATAATTATTGGACGGTGGCTTACCCCATGCAAACAGTGAAGCCTTCCGCATAAAGCGCGGTAGATACGTGTTGAGAACTCGAACGAAGAGAATATGCATGTTGTAGCCCTCGACTCCCATCCAGAATAGAGATGACAGGGTAAAATAGTGGAGGAAGCCAGCTAAGATACAGCAAGGCAGGGGAGGAATTTCTTCCTTACCTCGTTCTGTGTCAACAGATATCATGACCAGGAAGACGATGTATAGACAGAGCAGGGAACTGGAAAGGGACAGCAGGATCTGGTTGGGTTTGCGATCACGAAGTTTCCTAGAACAGAGGACAAAACCTTATTTATTATATATATTATAACACATTTTACATGGTTAATGCTGTCGCTGGGTGTCGCACAAAATACTGACTCTTGGAACCGCAGGTGATGTGTCGTTTTGGCAATTATCGACAACGTACCCTTTAAAAGATTCCATGGTATTTCCTATGCTCAAGTGATTTTAATTTTCGGACCGTGTTATTTTCTATGTACCGGTATGTACAAAATCGTGAATCATAATAGATTTTTCTAGCATACACAGCTGCTCTTCTAAAAAATGTGATATGGTAACATTTTTCAATGATCAAAATTACGTTTACGGGCAAGCCTAATGTACGTTTTCCCTACGTTTACCGAGCATCTCTGGGATATTTGTAAGACTGGTGACGGTATTAAATTGTCTGCTCAACTAGAGCTTTTCTGAGACCAAATACCACTTGGTAAGTTGTGCAAAAAATTTATATATGAAATGGAATACATTCGAATTCGAATCAATCAATCAACGTGTTGGACATCACAAGATCAGATACCTTATACTGGCCCATATGCATAATATCCCTGAATATAGAAATGTTACTCACTTATTAAAAGCATATGTGAGGATTGTGATGACAAGGCCCCATATTGACATACAGCAACCAACATAGCTTATGATCTCCAGAATAAAATCTGCCTGTGGTGACAATCCTTCTCCTCCATAGATATCCTGTAAAATGTAATGATATATATATGTTCAAACAGGACGTCAGCCAATTCTGACTACTAAAAGTCATCTTAGTCTTCATGCCTCGATCAGATATGACGCGGTGATCTGCGGCGTTTTTTTCTTCTTTTTCTGGATGACCTATTGAAGTGCAATTAATACACTTTACATTTATGTAGCTAATAACACAAGGCTCAGTGAATACGCGTTGGACCGTTGTCGCGTCCAGTTGTAATTCATTTCTTTCTCTCTCTCTCTAAGTGCCATATCTCATGCTGTTCCACAACCCTCGGCTCCTAGCTTTCTGTATAAGTACCACTCCCAGTTCTTTCACTCCTCTCTCTTCCAGCAATTTCTGCAGACTGTCCATCTTAAGTATCTTCCTTCTTCCCCTACTCGTTGTTCCCACAATTTTCCCTGTCAAAGCGAGATTATCTAGGCCTTCTTTACGTCTAATGTGACCCATGAACTTCAACTGCCTAATCAACATCTCACGTATCATTTTCCTTTGCACTCCAGCTCGTGTATAAGAACTTCCTCATTACTAACTTTGGCAGTCAAGGGGATTTTCATCATTCTTTTTAAAAACCACGTTTTGCAACTTTCCAAACTCTTTTTAGTATCAGAGGCTAAAGTCCATGTTTCACTACCATACATAAGTACTGGGTAGATGTAACAATTCAATACTCTTATTCTAAATCCTCATACTCATTGTTCGATTTGTCAGAATTTTGCCTAACTTTGAGAATGCAGATTTAGCGAGAGCTATCCTTCTCTTGATCTCTGTCTCACATCTGGCATCCTCGGTAATCATGCTGCCGAGGTAGTTAAATGAGGAGACTTGTTTAATAATCTGTTCCTTCAGTTTCAAGTTACATTTTGGACTGCTCTTCTTGGATACCACCAGGCACTTTGTCTTGGTATAGTTGATCTCTAGTCCCATTCTCTCACTTTCTTTTACAACTACATCCAGGAGTCTCTGGAGATCTTTCTCTGATTCCGAAAATAAAACAGTGTCATCAGCATATCTAATATTTGTGATTGAATGGCCACCCACTTGTATCCCATTTTCATCTTCCAATTATGTTAGAATGATTTCACTATACATATTGAACAGGTCTGGTGACATAACACAACCCTGTCAGACTCCCCGTCTGATGTTAATATATTCACTACACTCTCCTTCTACCCTGATGCATGAAAACTGATTCAATATAGACTTTGTAACAGTCTTAGATCTTTCCTATATATATATATATATATATATCAAAGCTTTTTCAGCTCTTCAAAAAGTTCTGAAAGTTTAATTTTATCAAAAGCCTTTGAATAATCAATAAAACACATGGACACATCCTTTTGCATTTCGACTGCTCTCTCCGTAATATTTCTAACCACAATTATAGCATTTCTTGTGCCCGCATCCTTTACAAAAACAAATTGTTCCCTTCCGACCATGGGAGTTATTCTACTTATTGCTCTCAAAAGCAAAATCCTCAAAACAATCTTAGTGATATGGCAAATAAGGCTGATTGTCCTATATTGCTCACAATCCACGGCTCCCGGTTTCTTTGGGAGAGTAATGAAAATGGATCTGCCCAATTAATCTGGAAATGTTCCGTCATCATATATTTTGTTGATAATTTCTGTTAATCTATCAACACCATATTCCTCTAATGCTTCAAACAGTTCAATGACCACACTATCTAGTCCAGCTGCTTTGTTCTTCTTCATCTTTGACATTTTAAAGAATTTTCTCCCCTTTGACTTCATCTGAAAAACTCGGCATTGCTTCCCTACTATCTTAAAAAGTTCGCCAATGTATTGTGTCCACCTACTCATTTTGTCCTTTGTTTCAAACAGGATTGACCCATCTTTTCCTTTGATACAGCCAGGGTTTGAACAACCAGACTCTTTGCCTGAAATTTCATTTATTCTTTGGTAAACATTACTATTCTTATCGAATTGATTTTCAATTTCTGCACATTGTTCGTTTAGCCAGCTCTCTTTTGCCTCATTACACTTTTGCCTAATTTGTTTGTCCAATTCATTTCACGTAATAAAAAAACGCCTCATATCTGAAGGAGATTTTTTTGTCAACCATGTGAAGACCAAGTACATGTACCGAGTAGCCAGGGTTTTTGGAGCTGACCATCAAGGAACGAAGCAAGATGAACCTGGCATGTGCATCGATGCTATCTAAAGGGTTATGCAAGCAAATTTCCCAATGTTTACAGTCTTATATTCCATACATACTGGGTCTTTTGGAACTTGGGTGGCGTCTAAGGTGCTTCAAACATGAAATTATTCTGAGGCATATTGTCTGTCGTATCCTGATGTAGACAACAACTTTGTGTGCTTTGAAACCACATGGATATATCCAGAACATGGGAACGGGGGAGGGGCATGCCTTACGTAAGTTCAGCTTTTCTAGTTTCCTCATACATGATTCTATACAAATTAAATGAGGTTTGTTTAATATGGTATTCAATGCAAATAACTAGCAACTAACATACAATTTTACACAATTCGCAAACAAATTTAGTAGAAATAACACTTTGATATCATGAATATTGAAGACAATGAGGATTTCAAGTTTTCCTGTGCCATTGCTGTAACTTTTGCACAGAGGCTACACACAGATCCCATGCAAAAGTACGTTACGTGACAGACAAAGGTGATACAAACCATGAGAATGCCGAAGTTGGTAAGGTGATCGCACTCGCAAGTAATTCTGTCTATGCTGTCATTACTTGTTTTGATGCATCCTCGCGTGGACCATTGGTTATCATCAAAGTCATAAGATACACACGTGGCATTTGTCCCATTCTTGAAATGAAAACAAAATATGGCAATTATCAGGGCTTGAAAATAAAATATATAAACATCTCAAATAAAAAAGAAGACCATTTCTGCCACTCGAAAATATCTGGTTCAAGAGTAACGTGTACATTGCATATTAATACTGTCTCATCCAATATGCAAACTTCAACCACATTACTCTACAATTGCTCTGAATAGATATGTCAATTAACATCATCCTCTGATCCTCATCTGTGTGTTCATATCCAATCTTTTTGTATATTCGCGAAATTCATCAGATGAAAGAGGTTGATTTACATTGAATCACTGCCACATTTCCCAGCATTGTGCCCCCGCATTTGTTTCTCCACTTGTTTTGTAATGTTATTCAAATTAACAGCAACATTTTAGTTGAGCCATTGCCATGTTACAAATAATAATAGTGGGTACTTTTATAGCGCTCAAGTTTGTCACATTTTACGCTCATGGCACTTCAATTAACACTGATAAAGCATTATGATGCACTCACCGGATTGGTAGGAGTAAATGCAATCATCACGGGTTCCTCCAAGTTTTCGATTTCTTCGTTATTGAGCGACGCCGCTATGATCCTGGAATTCAACTCTCGCTTGAATCCCGTCTCGTTTGCCTTCAGATTCAACTCCGTTAGTTCACTGTCCCTGAAGAGGGCCGTATTCAAATGTGTGGTGATGACCAACCGGCCCGTCAGCTCGGAGAACCTGTCCGCTAAGACTGATGGAATGAAGAGGGTCGCCTGAGCTTCAAGCACATCTGGCTCTGTTGTAAGATCGCCTCCTGCCACCTGAAAATCCTCGTCTGAAATGCTTCCTCCATCGGCCGTAGCTGACATGAAAACGGTTATACCCTGGCTGAGTCCATCCACTGTCACATCAAGTACCTGATACACACAAAAATAGATATGATATTTGACAATAATTATAAAAAGTATTCATATCCACCACGCTAGGTGCTCAAGACGCTGACATATTACTCCGCCTATAGCTAAGGAACGGATTTCGTGCTCACAGCATTCAATGAATTCCTTCCTACCGATAACCCTTTAAAAACCTTGGATGAGAATGGCAACTGTGGATAAATGTATTACCAAAGAACACCAAGTGAAGACCAACAAGGCCTGCGGGTGGGACAAAATAGCTGCTGAAACTCTAAAGGCTGCTGGGCAACCAATGAGACAACTCCTGCTCAAAATAATAAATGCAGCATGGTCGGAAGGTGAAACCCCGGAAGACTGGAGCAAGGGTCTTATCACCCCAGTGTTTAAGAAAGGAGACAAGCTGGATCCATCCAACTACAGAGCTATAACTCTACTCTCAATACCCGGGAAAGTTTTCTGTAGAATGGTCCTCATGAGAATCCAAGGAACCATCGAGAATCATCTGACGGAGGAACAATGTGGATTCAGAAGTCTTAGGGGCACCACAGATGCTGTGTTTGTCGTCAGACAGATCATCGAAAAGGCCAGAGAAAGAAGGATACCAATCTACCTGAACTTTGTTGACTTTAAAGCAGCATTTGATACCATATGGCGAGAAGCTCTCTGGAAATGTCTGCGTTCCATTGGAGTGGACAAGCCCTTAGTTGACCTCATAGAGAGCATGTACAAACAAACCAAATGCTCTGTTATGGTGAATGGAAAGACAACTGAATGGTTTGATGTCATAACTGGGGTAAGACAAGGCTGCCTCCTCTCTCCAAGTCTCTTCAACCTATTCCTGGAATATGTGATGAAGGACATCCAACAACTAGAAAGTGGAATACAGATGGGTGACATGCGTATCAACAACATCAGATATGCAGATGACACCACCCTGATGGAACTCATATTTGAAAACCTCCAAATCTCAACAAATGAACTGGAGAAGGCTTGTAGAAGATGGGGTATGAAAATCAATGCAACAAAATGCAAAGTCATGACAGAGGATCATCAAGATATTTCACTTAACAACACCAACATTGAGAAAGTGGAAAAATTTGTCTTTCTCGGCAGCACAGTTCCATCCATAGAAGAGGACGTGAAGAGACGTACACGACTGGCTGCTTGGGCATTCGGAAGACTGAAAAGTGCCATCTGGTCCAACCAAGATATTTCTAGGAGTCTCAAAGTCAGGATCTACAGAGCACTTATCCTCCCTATTGCCACATATGGAGCAGAATCCTGGACTCTCCGAAAATCTGATAGAAATAAGCTTGAAGTATTTGAAATGAGGTGTCTCCGGACCATCCTTGGAGTTCACCTAATGGACAAGATTAGGAACGAAGAGATCAGGCAGAGACTGAACATCCCAAGCACCATATGCGAGGAAATAACCAAACGTCGCTTGAAATGGTTTGGCCATGTTTTACGCATGCCGCATCACCGCCTACCATACCAAGCATTCCAAAATGACTTTAATGGACGCAGACCTCGGGGACGCCCTCCAAAGAGATGGAAGGACCAGGTTCAATGCGATGTCGGATTATCCACACAAGAGGCAGAGCAACGAGCCCAGGACAGATCAGACTGGAACATGATTTCTCGTAGGGGAGCAAGGGGACACACCGTCCTATGCACCTAAGTCAAGTCAAGTCAAGTAAGTCAAGTCACCAAGTGTCGCGCCGGGGCTCGAATCCAGGACCTTCACAACTCCAGTCAAGTGTTTAAAAAATTGTTTTACGACACCTCCAGCACACAGTTTTCTATGAATGAGACAAATCCATGTATATATATATATATATATATATTGTGAGCTGGCTAAGAACTCAATTGATTTCTTTAAAAAGGAAGCTTGCCTAATCTATGAAAAATATAGGTAGTTTGAAGGGAAATGACGTAATCATTGTCTTTTACCATTTTAACGAATACTCCGGATGAAGTTTTTAAAAAAAATATTTAAAAAAAACACGTTATGCAGGATGTCCTTATGTCTTCCATAAAGCGAGGGCTTTGTTTTAACGGTAAACGTATTGTCAAAATGATTTGGGTCTACAAAATTAATGTTTTAAGGCAATGAAAAAATAGCATACATGAAGATAATTGCATAAACAGAATGATTTACGTAAAAACCCAAAATAAAAAGTTAAGAATATACAAGTAGAATACGTTATCTTATACGATTTTAATATAGAAATAGTTAACACATGTCTTTTTGTTGCTCACCTCTGCGGCAATATTGGGCTCAACGATCCGAAGAGTTTCATTTAGCACCTCAACTACAGAGAGTTGTTCTTCAAGGGATATAACCACACGGCTTGGAGCACCATTCTCGTCTTCAGCCATTTCTAGTTCTTCTTCTGGTAGATTCGCAATGTTGCTCGCAATATCCACAACAGACTCAGTCACCTGTTTGTCAAGAATTAATTTTGGGTTATTTCCTGCTATTTCAAATGCATAATAACACTAATAAAACTACTCATAATAATAACAACAACAACAATAAAAGCTATGATGCATTTATATTAGGTAGCTTAGACAGATACCGAGATGTGATTGGTCCAGAGCTCGTGACGTAACAGTACTTGCGAGGATCGTAATTGTTTCATTATTTTCCTGGACGGTCACTTTCGATGGTTATATTCACGCTATATAGCTGGTGAAATTAATATATTTTTTAATTAATGCATGTCGCCCTCTAGGCTTGAGGACTGTTTGTCACCAATTACACATATATAATTTACATGGGACTAAAGCAGACAATCGTTTGTGATTGATCAATGATAGAAAGTCTCGATGGGAAACAAATTCGACCCACGAATTTTAAGTTCTACTTTTTACACGTCGCGCGCGACGCAGTACCACATCACAACAACACTTCGAAATGGAGCCCCGATTCGTGTTAATGAGCGATGAGGAAATAGATAATCATGTGCTAAAACAAGCATTGAATATACTCAACTGCTACTGCATGGCAAAGTCTCTTGACTTCGAAAAAGTGGAGAAGGAATACTCCGAGCAAGAATTATGCGATTGCCTTCGATTATTCTACGCAGAGGTGCGGCGAGGAAATGGCGAACTTAACGCAAAGAGATCCATGCTTACAATACGCTATGGCCTCCAGAAACACTTTCTTAAAACAAAGCCAATGGACATCGTAAGCAGTGTTGAAGTTAGACGTGCGAACGGCATGTTTGTTGCAGTCCTTCATAAGCTCAAAGCTGAGGGAAGGGGTACAAGGAGCCTAGTATAAACAAGGAAGACTTTAGCAAAATTACTGTATGTCTTCACGAGCGTTGGACCGTTCTATCAGGGGCGGCCGAGCGACTTTCAAAGTGGGGGGGGGGGGCACCAACAAAAAAGGGCACTTTCTGGAAAAAAGGGCACCTACAGTGGGAAATCTCAAAGCGAAAATATACAATTTTTAGACATTGGTATATACCCCTACATTGTGATTACATTATCAGGGATGATTTCAATATTTGTTTCTCTTCATACATCATACAAGATATCGCTTAAGCATCAAACTTTACAGTTGGGTGTGATGTCTGAATATGCATTTACGAGCGAGCGAAGCGAGCAAGAAAATTGTTAAAGATCTGTGAGGTCGCAGTGCGAAAAATTACATCTTATAAAGAGGAAAAAAGCCAATCGTGATGGGGTTATAAACACATTCTCATAACGGAAGACTGAAAAGACCTTTGTTAAGTAACATAATTATATAATCTTTAAATGCGAGCGAGCGCAGCGAGCGAACTTTGGGGGAAACTGCTCTTAGTCGCTTTAAATAAGGGGCACGTTTAAGGATTACATTAAAAGGGGACAATTATCGAAAGGGATAAGACACTTATTAGAAAAGAAAAGGAAAGGAGCACGTTTTTAAGTACAAAAGATAATTATAAGAGGTGAAAATGAGGCATTTTTTCACTTGAAAAGAGGCACTCACCAGTGATGAAAAGGAGGCGTTTACGAAAATGGGAAATAGGCATTTGTTGACGGAAAAGGGGCACCCATCAGATTTTAATAGGGTCATTTATAAGAGGTGAAAAGGGGATAGGTCCCTTATTAGAAAGGAAAAGGGGCACGTATCATTATTAAAAGGGGAATTATCAGAGTTGCAAAGGAGCACTGACCAGATATGAAAAGGGGCACTTATGAAAATGTAAAAGGGGCACTTATAATAAAGGAAAATGTGCATTTGTTGAATGAAAAGGGTGCACCGTTCAGATGTTTAAAAGGGGCAGTTATGAGAAGGGGAAGGGGAAGTTATGAGAAGGGGAAGGAGCTCTCTCTTTTTAATGAGGGCACTTATCATAAGGAAAAGGGGCACTTATTAGAAAATAAGAGGGGCATATGTTAAAATGAAAGGTGCGCTCATCCGAGTTTAAAAAAGGGGTAGTTATTAAAAGGAGAAGGGGCACTTCTTACAAGGAAAAAAGGGGAAGTTGTCAAAGTAAAAAGAGCACCTCTCAGTTTTGAATAGGGCAATCATCAGAGGTGAAAGGGGCACTTATTAAAAGTGAAAAGGGGCACTTCTCGTACATGAAAAGAGGCACTTACTAGAGATTAAAACGGGCACTTATTCAAGATAATTTCAAGATTCATGAGAATGGAAAATGAACATTTATTGCAAAGGAAATGGGAACATGTCGAAGAAAAAGGGGCACGTGTCAAAAATAAAAAGGGCACTCGTCAGAGGTGAAAAGGGGAAAGGGGCACTTTTACTAAGTAATAGGGGCACTTGTCAAAGTAAAAGGGGCACCTTTCCTATGTAAAAGGAGCACTTTTCCTATGTAAAAAGGGGCATTTTGGGGGTATCTAAAAAAGTGGGGGGGGGCACTGTGCCCCCCTGCCCCCCCCCCCCCCGGAGGGCCGCCTCTGCGTTCTATATTCCTTAAGGTATCCGGAACGCTGTATTTATAAACTTAGATCTAAAGCTAGATGAGTTTGCCATTGCTACAGATTCCAATAACAGGAGGTACGTTTATCTTGCAAAGGACCAGTTGACGAAAAATCACAGAGACAAAGATGATGACACAAGGAGCCAGTGTGGTCGCATGTATAAGACAAAGAATGAAACTTTCTCCGTGAAGACGTTTTGTGATTACATTTCACACTTGAACCCTGACTTTTCCTATTTTTGGCAACAGCCAAAATCAAGAGCTTCTGAAGATATCAATGCTGGATACGGGTCAGTAGAACAAGAACAACAAAGTATGCCGGTATGATCATCAGGTTGTTGGCAAAAACGCTTCGAAGAACAGAAGGAACACCATTAGCATTGAAGCTAACGCGTCTAGAATCTACACGAACCACTGCCTTAGAGCTACAACTATCACTTCATTAGATGAGCACGGTTTTTAAGCGAGGCATATCATGAGTGTCTCTGGACATAAAAGTGAGAGCAGTGTTAAATACTCTCGAGTTGCTGGGGGACACAAAAGGTTAAAGGGCTTGTGCTTGTCAGAGAAATGCCAACAAGTCACAGACCCGGAACTAAAGTAAGGCTCTCTAATCCAAGTTCTAGACCTAGTTCTAGATTTGGTCCTGGACCTGGTTCGACTCAAACATCTGGTCCACCAACAGGACCATCATGTATAATCATCATCATCATCTAACTAACGTTAGATCTACGCCTGACATTTCAGCTCAGCCTCAGCCTCAACTTCATCTCGTAGATCTAGGAGTAGGACCAGAGGCAGAGACTAGCGGTGAGTCCAGAACCCCCAACAAGTCTCACTCATATTCACAGGGGAGCCGACCAAATTTTCACTTCAAAGTCAAACTATGAATTTTGTGTCAAACAAACTTGATTTCGACCAGACAAAGGTTGTACAGTAGACTCTACTATCACTTTCATCAGTGTAGGCCTAGATCTAGGCCTAGACTACTGTGGAGATCATTAACAAGTAGTCAAAAACCGCACCCTAGCACCCTGCAAATATGTTGCGTTCGTATTATGTTGAACAGCTGATTGTGACTTTTGACCCGTTGGAAGTTTTTTAACTTAAAAGGTTATTTGCGTGGCATTATTGGATTAGTTTGGATCTTTTGGAAACAGTGACAAGTTCTGGAAGAATTACATATGAAATTGGGTGAGTAGACAACTTTATTTCGTTTGCCTGAAATCTAACGTTAGATCTATCTATAGATTAGATTATAGTATAATAATATTATGTCATTAGTCTTAATCAAGCGCTGTGCGCTTCGGAAAAATATAACCCCTCGGGGAAAATATAACTCCGGCGGTCCAAAGCATGTTATATTACACACCCTACCGGTCAATATCTGTATAATATAGCGCATCACATTGATACTTGAATGTACTTTAAATAGATCGAGCTCGTACGGATATGATGCGGTAAATTGTGGCGTGTATTTTTCTTCTCGTTATTAGGCCTGTTCAAATAATAAATGTCTGAAGTGCACTTATAAATACGCACTGTGCGCAGGTTAGGTCACATCAGGATAATGAACGAGACTGTAGAGACTAATTGTAGAGTTTTTTGTCCGTCTCACTGTGACTAAATCGAGTGCAGTGCATATCACGAATGAACGAGCTAGAAACAAGCCGTACTATAAGATGGGTCTACCTTATAAGTATTAAGTCGAAAATTTGACGGATGTTATCGCCAAAATGCATTCCCCGTGCATATGGTAAAAATTAATGCACGCACAGGTGATCCAGTTTGACACTTCTCATTGGCTACTTTCTTGAATCCATTTTATAATATACAAATAATACACAGCAGTGAGGGCATTAGTTAAAATTACCCACACAAGGTACCTTTGGAACAGTCTAACACGCTCGAGGTGGTAGCCGAGGGTGTTTGGACTGTTTTGAAGGTACCGGGTGTGGGTAATTTTACTAATGCCCGAACAAAGTGATGTGTAAATTATAAGATTTTGTTTTATTTGTTTTTTATAAAATGATCTTTTAAAACATCATTTTAGTAATGACCGGTCATAAGTAAAATTATGTTTTGGGCAAAATAAATGCCTGGTCACGTGTACGCTCTCAACCAATCATTTGATTAAGATTCGCTTCAACATCTTATAAAACGCGTAAAATGAATAGCAACTGCGCGCAATGAAAGGTCCTACGCGCATATTAACATAGTTCAGTGTATGCTATATGGTACAGACATGTGAAGCGTTTTGCATTTTATCCATCAATTATTAAATGCCGCGGTTCACAGAGTTATGTCTGAACGGCTTTATGGTTAAGTGTTATATACCGCATACGGCATGATCACGCATATTGCATGATTCTAGGCTTTTGATTAGTAAAAGCTGCAGGCATTAAATTCACTTGTGTATGCTGGGCAGTATTAATAGCGAAATATATTGACAGAGCACACAATCTATTCGCGCGTACAGTGCAAGGACGGGCAGTGAATACGGGAAATTTGACATTTTGAAGGGGGTATGCGTATTTTGGGGAAAATGCTCATTTTTCTATTATGTGGCATATAAATACACAATTATTGACTGATGAATATGTGGGTCTCGGATAAAACTTTGGCTCCTTTGTGATCTTAAGACTACACTATGCCCCCTGCAAAGTGCAGTTTCAAAATCACATTGAGCTCTAGTTTTAAACGTGCCCCTCAAAGCAGTTCATACAGTATATGTATTACCCTCTGGATTTCAAGCCCACACAAAAATGTATACCATCCCCATTTCTTAGGAAGTGTACCTACCATTTTTCACCGTTCATATGCATACACATTGAGCATTGACAAAAACAGTTACACTGGCTACCTCGCAGGTACGAATTATCTCCTGGGTGGAGAGTGTCAAATGAATGCAGATTAGTGTCTTGCAAAATGGCGTTAATATTCCTGTTGCCGTCATGATACCGCTGCTACAATTCCGATTTTGAATTTGTTGTGTATTTTTATCCCCCTTAGTTAGTGATTCTGAAGTTTGTATATAGGAAATCCAACTTTTCAAACTCCAAATCTCGCATTTTCCTTCTTTGGAGAATTAAAACACGGGTTTCTTTTAAGTTTCAGGCAAGTAATGATTTTTCAAAAGCTTCAGACACCAAAGCTGTAATTTAAACAACGCTGTAAGCCTACGTAAATACTAGGGGTGCAAACAATTGTAAAGTATGATAACTTGTATTGTCTGACACGTTTATAATATTGTGCAATTGCGAACAAAACTCCGTTCGAGTATCAACAAATTAGCGTTGATAGCTGGGCACACTAGCATTTCCTGTATTAAAAGGGTGTTCGAAAAAAACGTTGTATTTGCCACACCTAAGTTATTTAAGTTGTTGTGCTCCGTAACTTAATCCATTATTTGCATAAGGTGTAGCTGTAATGTCATCAGCCTATTTTGTTAATGTTTTCATGAAACAGCATGAAATTAAGAAAAATTACAACTTTCGTAACAGAGAGTTTAAAAAACAAACATTTAACCAAATTATGTTAGTCATGCACGTGCGATGAATGATCTCCTACCCACCTGCACATCAGTAGAATCTATTTCTGTGATATCTTCGAGGATATCTGCCACAATCTCCAGACCTTCCGTAGAAATGGTTTCAGTCATGGTTGTTATTTCTGCCACTTCTTCAACTATCATTTCTGCATTTTCCGCTGTGACTTCGGCCTGCCAAAATTAGAGGCAATCAACTTATTAACAACAATGATGATAAACAAATTTTTTAATATATCATTTTTTTATAATGAAACTTGCAATGTGCTTCTAAAATTGAGATGAAACTATGTTCAATATTTATTGAATAAAATAAAAATCTGGTTCTGTTTTCTTTTATGTATTAAAAAAAAAAAATCGAAAACTTTTAAATCGCCAGGGAGTTTGTGATGTGATCAGGGTTTCTTCTTATGAGTGATCGTTACAAGGCGCCTTAACGTGTATCGTAGACTTGAAATATGTTTCAGATCGCTAAAGATTCGTCCTGCTCCAGCTTTGCTGGTACAACATGAATCTTGGAGCATTGAAACAAATTACTTTGATTACTGTATCAAAAGAAAATAGAAAGTTTGAGTTTATTTTATTTATACACGGTAAAAGCCCGAAACAGTTCGCAGACTGGTTTCAATCAGGGCCGTGTCGATAAAAACAACATAATCATGACATATAAAAAAAAGTAATATAACACTGACAAATTCAGAACATTTAGCACATTCATTATTCAGAGGATATTAGTTCGGTCCGGTTAATCGCTACAGCTGTAAAAACAAGAGGCGCCAATTCCATGTACATTTCATGCGAAGCTTTACCCCTTCGATGTCGAAGAATACCTGGCTGATTTTTCCTTACTACTAATAATAGTGATAGTGAAGTATTGTACAGTATAGCGCTCAAGGCTGATATACTGCTACTCCCGGTGCTCCATCATTACTACCCTGACTTTAGCACAGCTGCCATTACAGTGCTCGAGCATTTCAAGGAATTAATTCCTACCGGGTTTCGTGGGTGGAGTGTGCCAAATGTAGGTTGATGTCTTGTCAAAGGACATAAGTTCTACGACAGGGATTCGAACCCCAAAGCTTGTGGTTCACAGTACAGATACTTATCCACTGAACCATAACGCCTCCACCTTTTGATATTGCACGAACAATATCTTTCTCTATCACCTTATTCTGGCAACGAATCATAGCTATGTTGCATTCCTGTCAGGAATAGACCGTAACGAACCTCTTGTATGATCGTGAGAAGTTCATCAGCAGTCAGGTTTCTTCCACAGTTCATCTGGGGTAGCCAAACACAAGCGCTAATAGTGTCACCATCACAAATGGCTTCTATACGATGGTCATCTGCGGAAAGATAAAAGGTTCATTTTTATGATCCATGTTTTAGCGATAGCGATTTGTGTTATTTACAGAAATCATCACAGTTTTCCTGCAAGAGAGTTTTACTGGACTTTTTTGTTTCCGTTCCAAAGTAGACTTTTTTTTCTTCATTTTCACATTTTCAAAACCTTTTACAATAATTGATAGAACCTTTTATGATAAATGGACTAAAAATCTAGGATAATTTTCTTGGCCATGCTTTCACAAGCAAACAAATACAAGAACATGAACCATCAGTTGATGAAAATGACTTACGATTTACGGTATAATCAGGGCATTTTGTATCGGTTGAGTTAGCTATGCTGTTGATGACTCCACTTTCAAACATGGCCACATAGCCATAGGCTGTCACAGTCCCGGCTGGACAGGTCACTGTCAAGATGATCAGAATAGATATTGATTTTAGGTGGAATATGTATATACTTTACAATGATTTCTTTGGTAATTTTTTGTTCTTTGTAAATAATATGCAGTCGTTTTTAATGTCAGTCTGGGCAATATCGTCTTTTTTGTGCACGGACTTGCTGAAAAAGACAGCCTGCGGCCGAATGCATGTTTTTGTTAACCATATTGAAATAAATAAAACACAATTCTTTCAGTGACAATACGCTACTCAGAACAAAAAGGGCATTAATCATACATACCTGCAATAAATAATACAAAAACGCCCGTTTGGTTATTAGTGGCTATCATAATGGATCATCTATGCTGTAGTTACCTGTAATGTTTACGTCTTATTTCCATTCGTTATGTATGATTCATTTACGAAAGTAGTAGAATTGAAAGCAATGGTGACTGGGCAGCACAAAAAGCTATAAAGGAGGTTATCATCAATGGAGCGTTTTTAGTTTTCGTGTAATGAAACATTGTTAGATTCGTAGAAATTGTATCTAATAAGTTTATATCAGATGCTATAAGATATAAGCAGCTCTAAATGTGAACTCTAGCAACTACATTAAATGCTATAAAGACAGAGCAAAAATCAATTTCATATAAACACAGAAGGAAAATAGCTTGAAATTACAGAAAACGCATGTACATCGAACCCGATCGCAACTACTTTCGAGAAATCAACTTATGGCAATTTCAACAGCCTTTTTTTGAAGAAAAGAGCCTGTCCTTCAGCTTTGAAAATGCGCGAAAATTACAATGATGTATTACCCAACCCAACTGCGTTTTCTGACGGATATACAATAGGTTATCTAAATTGCCCTTGAGTTGACCTTTTAAGGTAGTAGCGATCAGGTTATCAGCAAACATTTACTGTAATGATAAAGCTCACCTGCACTAAAGGATTGAACAGAAGCTGGGTCCAGGAAGTTGGGGTTCCCCTCAGCAAGGCTTGTTAGTGTAGAACTGACGATTGACAGTTGTTCACCATCGGGTATTGAACCATTGTATACATAGACACCGAATTCTGTAATCACGCTTCCTGGTGAGAAGGAGTTCACTCCAACTGCAACGGTAGCTTCAAAATTATTCTGGAGAGGTGTCAGGATCTGAAAGCAACACAGAGTATCATTTGAGTGCCAGCCAACCTAATCTATGCAACGTGCATTAGATAATAAAGGAATTGAATTCAAATTTGTTTCCTTGTGGGAATATTTGTATAATGTTCTTGACATCATAGACGAATTCACTAAACAGTGAGTAAGAGGTGAATAGCTAAATAGTAGAGATGTATTTGGAAACAAAGCTGTGTACATGTAAAATGAAACGTGTACTGTAAGGGCATAATGCACGGCTTTAAAATGTGTATTGCATATGAATTAATTAATTAATAAATGGTGATTTCTTTTAAGATAAATGACATATAAATATTCGTAGATGATTAAAATACAATTCAGAATATCTATGATCAAAATTAATTTTAAGACATTTTAGACTAAAGAAAATGATTTAGAATGAAAGGGAGCAGTGAATTAGTCAGCAGATCAGATAATCTAATAATCATACTCACAAAATTTATTAATTCCTTTGAGAGCTGCTGAAAGTATGATGAAGTTCTTTCCGAAAGACTGTCGTTGAAAATCTTGTTGAATGACGCCATTACTACATAGTTATCAACACCTGGAATTGAAACAAAAGTCATAACGAATAACAAAGAAAGCAATAGAAACCTTTTCATAATTTACTATTATATAATTTAGGAAACAGATTAAACTAAACATAGATGACTTAATAGAGTATCACATACACGATCGACACATGGGGAATCTAGAACAGTGCACTGGCTTTAATATAAGAGATTAATATAATTACATTACCCCCCTCAATCCTGACTAAGAACAAAATATTATTTCTTATTGATGTAAGGAAATAATGGTATTGTGAGTAATTATTCATTATAATGTATAGGCGCCTTGAAGAATAACCACAACTGGCCTCACACAGGTGTATGTTGAAGGTCATCGTTAAAGGATATGACAGGACATGAAACATCCAAGAGTCCACAGCGTGAACAAACGGATGTTATTATGAGAAATATATGAGTAGGAGATAGGAGAGTTAAAGATCGTACTAGGTTCTTCAAACATATGCTACTATTCGCTAACAAACTCCAAACTAACCATTGACTGTCAACAAAGCTTGTTTTGTGGATAAAGTTTTGCCGTCCTCCCCGACAGCAGTGCAATAATAGTATCCCTGGTCCTCGGCCAGAGCTGGATTTATAACTAACGGGGACCTGTTCTCACTTCTCAAGATGGGGACGTTGTCTTTGTACCACCTGTAACTTCGCGCGTTCTGGAAGGAACAGGAGAAGGTGACCCGCTCCTCTACATCTGCCATCTGAGACAACGGGTTGGTGAAAACCGCAAGGGGTTCTGCAAATGTGATATAATCATTATATAGTAAACAATACTATATTTCTTATGCATCATAATATATTCCATGATAGGTTGATAGGATTCTAGAGAAGTATTTTTTATTTGAAAGTATCGAAAGTATTTGATATAAAGATTTTAAAAGTATTTGCATGAATCATAGAGTATTCCACTATGACGGGTAGATAGGGTTAACGAGAAGTATTGTTTATTCGAAAGTATTTCATGTAAATAAAGACAAACTGTATTTTGTATGTATCATGAAATATTTCGTAATGACGAGTAGATGTGGTTTAAGAAAAATCATGTGTATTCAAAAGTATGCGATATAAATTTATGAGGTGTGCATGGTCTTGATTCACTGAACCATTTCGACAATTTGTCAAGACTAAATCCGGTATCATATTAATTGAAACATGTATATTTTATCGCAATCATAGTATAATTTGGAAGCATATTATTTCTACTTTATGAAGAGCAATACAATTTTGGTTTATAAAGATCATAGTTTTCTCACAATTCCCCTTTGCTTTGAGGTATGGTTTTTCTGGGGGGACGCACTGTATATCAAAGGCATACACATGCGCTCACGAACCCACACACGTTCGCACACACCAACATATACACCCACACATATACGTACACACCCACACCTATCTTACCTTGCTCCCTAATCTGAGTGTTACAATTAACATCAGTGTACGATTCTGTACACGTGCAAACATACGATGCTCCATCGTCGCTAGTCGTACAAGTGCCTCCATTTAGACAAGGTGACAGGGCACAAGGTTCAATGGCTGTGGGTGAAGTTAAACCGTGACATTTAAAGATAAAGCTGAGCTATTTTAGACATGTGATCGCTTGTGAAAGATTCGGAAAAGGTTGTATAATATAGCATACGGTGACAGCACACCAGTGTAGATTGTGAGTTTCTGGAATCATTAAAATGATAAGAAATTTACAGTCTCTGTGGAGATCACATGCACTTCATATAGAAATAGGTACGGCTCATATGGGAATACACAACACAATCTAGACTAACTCTGTCAGCTCTCCCTTGTTATCTTTTCAATAATATAAAGAAGTTTGTTACAGGGGACATTTCTACTGCGAAATTGATTTAAGCTGACATACAAATAACTGAGATACTTTCACCATTTCTTTTTTTTTTTTTTTTTTCTTCTTATTTTTTGGTTTGGCAGTGGGGGGAGGGGGGGGGGCTCAATAAAGACATATTATATGTGAATGGGAAATTACGATATAAGGCGTCAAGGTGCATATTTGAATATTGATACCACCTTATTAATCAATTTATTTTCAATATAAAAACTGACTACATTTTTTCTTCCTAAAACAGAAATATTTCTTATTTGTCACTCTTGAAAGCTCATTCATGACAGTGGTGTGGTCCAAAATATTTATGGCACAACAAGTACAGTACTTTGTGTAAGTACTATACCTTCGCAAGAGGTCCCGGTGCCGGTGAATCCCTCCATACATGTGCAAAAGTAGCTGCCACTTAAATCGGTGCACCATGCGTTACTGTCACACACTTGGGGTGACCCGGCACATTCGTTGATGTTGACACAGGTGAATGGAGTCCTGTCATCCGTTACGGTTGTGTATCCAGCGTTACACACACAGTCGAAGCTATTGATACCCCCGGTACAGGTCGAGACCCTTGGGCAGGGTGTGAACCTTTGACATATGTCAATGACTGGACGTGTAAAGAGAGATATGACACACATTAATGCTAATTTAGCTTACGGATGTAATGTAGAATTTTACCGAGGTTAGCCTCATTATTGTTGTAACAGTGCCCTCATTCGACCTGGGTCGAGAGGGACAAATGTGTTAAAACGCTAGTCTGCAAACTGACACTAATTTGACACTAAAACACGATTCAATGGAGCCTCGACCAGAACCTAGCTCTGTCAATCTCTGGCTGTGTCAGGTAAGGTTAGCTATTAAAATTATTGGAATAACTTGTATGATTCACATATGTTCAGCGTCTCGATCTAACAAGTCAACAAATTGTAATTATTTCGCTGAAAAGACTATTGTGTAACACATTGGGTGCTTTCATATACGAAACGATCATCTTAAGAATATACGAAGTCCATATAACTATACTCTGTTCCCTGAAGATTTCCGACACATAGTTCAAGCAATAGCATAGAGATGTTTGCATAATTTGATACCTTCCATATTCTTATTCAAAATGGAATTATCTACAAACATATACATTGCACATATACACAGGATTTTTCTTTTAACATTTAGAACTATCACACTCAGTCCTGGATTATGTTACAAGAACTAAAAGATGTTTAAAGTTATTCGTGTGAATCTTCTAATAATAATTGCCAGATTGACATGCCTTCACAAGTTGGTAGATCAGCGGACAACGCCCCGCTAGCCTGACACTTGACAGACGAGTTACCGATGAGGTCATATCCGGGCTGACATTCATACGTGCACGATGTGTTGTAGTCTCTCCTCATCTCTGTACCGCATTGTGAGTTGTCAGTGGTGAGATTTGCCGGAAAAGCTGGGATGTTACACGTAACAACTGCCGAGACAATTAAGATATGAAAAACACAATGATACATACGTTCAATTTGCCCAGCTACAATACATAGGAAACGATCGCAAAGTTTTTTCCAGAAATCAACCCAAGAACAATTCCAATTCCCGCTTGTATTCGTGTAGAAATTATGTTTCAATTGCATAACATTGAAATATGATATATGCTTGACTATAGATGCGAAGGTCGTGGGTTCTATCCCCGTCAAGGCACTTATGTCATTACACAAGATATTTTATCTGTATTGCTCCCCGCAATCCATGTGTTTGCAGACCCCGAAGACACTTCACGTAAACAGACTTCTGGTAGTGGACAGACTACAACTGAAAAGAAGAAGCAGAACAGTACATTTTATATTCGTGAAACTCACATGAATGAATGAATATTATGTCCCATGGGAACTCAGTGTTATATGCTCTGGCTCCTAAGGAGCCAGAGCATATAACACTGAGTTCCTATGGGGAGTATATTTATTCAGATGGTCATATCTCAACCAATACTTAACATATTCAATTGGTTTTCGACATTTGGACATTATTTTTGATGTTATTTCGGAATATGAAGAAAAAAATGAGAAATTCTTAAAATAGATTGTTATGACGTCACAGCTTCGGTAATCTATAAACAATTATATACCTCACTTAAGTAATCCAGCAATCCGATTGGTCGAAATTGCATTCATAAACTTTAACTGTTCCCGAAAATTCCCAGTAACCATGGTTAAAACAGTTCTAAAATCACAATAACCATGGTTACCGGGAAAATAGTTCAGTCTCCATGGTTACCCCATAAGTTTACATGTTAAAAAATGGTCTAAGCGATCGAGGATACCGTACGTGTGCGAAGAATTGGTCGGTAATTTCAATACAATTGAATCTCGATCGATCTTACCGACAATCTTATCTTGCATTGTTGACATGAAGATGAAAATAAACTTCCAAAAAAAAAAAAAAAAAAACATCTGCCGATAGATCTTGATCTAAGTTCGTGCCAGTGCATTGCAAAAGTAAAAGAAGGGCCCGTTTAATGGAGAAGCGGCGAAGCATCGACCACGCGAAGCCATTTTCAATCCATTTTAATGTATATATTAGAGAAAACTGGTATAAAAGGTGACTGAGCGCGCTGGCCGAGCGGTTTAAGGCGCTGATTTTAGATACATTACCCTTTTGTACGCAAGAGATCGAATCCCATCTTCGACATAAGTTATTTTTTTTTTCTTTTTTTTTTCGGCATATAAAAGTATTAATGACTGCTTTAATATTCGAGAAATAGTTGTTTTTATACGCTCTCGGGAAGGTTACAATTGGGCTATTGCCCTCGGCACGCCTCGGGTAATAGCACAATTCTAACCTTCCCTTGAGCGTATAAAAACAACTATTTCTCTCAAAGCAGTCATTAATACTATACTATTCCTCTCACAGCAGTCATAATATCTATACTATAACATGATAACTTTACATTGTAAAAACTTATGTAAGAATAACAGTAAAGATAAATCAATCTTCTTACTTTCACATGTTGGAACGTCATCAGAGAAGGTTCCGTTGGCTAGGCAGGCTAGAGATGACATCCCAATAAGGTCGTAGCCAAGGTTGCAGGAAAAATCACATGTTGTATTGTATGCAACATTCTGCCCCTCCGTGCATGAAGATGAAATGTTGGCTGGCAGCTGTGGTAAGTTACAGGTCTCAACTGCACATGAATGTTGATATCAATAATGACAGGTAGACTTATTTGAACAACTACAGGTTAAAATTTACTGAAAAAAGCGAATAAGCAATTTTAAAGTACGATTTTACACACATTAATTGTAGAGAATCGGTTGGTTAAAGAGAGAGCATTCACAGAACCTGAAACAGGTTTTATTCTCAAAATCAAAGCAATATTCATAGCCTATCCGATATGCGTCGGGCTTTACAAGTAGCCTATACTAATCGCGTTATGGAGACTGACATCGGCGCGGGCGTTAGCCCGAGCGCCAATCATCACTGGTGCATGCGAAAAGTTTTATTTCTGTTATGTACCTTGTTTCGTTCGTAGAAAATCTACGAACCCCCTGTAAAGCTCTTTCATGAACGAAATAGGCCAATGAGCGATGAGGAACCTCGAGATGATATTTGATTGGTTGAATCAAAGTGATCGATCAATAAATAAGGCTAGTCTTAAGAATCTTGCATCAGAATACGCTCGTCACACATAAGATACACATAAATGAATAATGATGAGTTCACCAGTGATGATAGGCGCTCGTGCTGACGCCCGCGCCGATGTCAGTCTCCATAACGCGATTAGTATATTTGCCGAAGCCTGACGCATATCGGATAGGCTATCATATTCATTGCAATAGACACGCCCAACCTAATTTGTGTTATGCACATAGTCTTCATTGGCAAAGTAATATACAAATTTGAATCGTCAACAAAAAGTAACCTCATTTGAAAAATTGATGGAAAGTTTTAACCTTCACATGAAGGCAGAAAATCAGAGAATTAGAGACGTGTTTTCCAGACATGATACTGATTGATATCGTACCAGATTGTATCCCATATCCCATGAATATGAACAGCTTTCTGTGAAATTGATGGATAGTCTTCCATTGCATTATGACATCATGACAGATAGACGTCGTGGAAGTTAATACATCTTTCAAAACAAATTGAATATCCCATAATCGAAAACCCGGTCGTGAAAGAGCTTTTAGACATAAATAATAATCATATTCACACCTGTTACTGTTACAACGAGAAGACAATTGTCAGTGTTTCCTGCAGCATCTGAAGATGAACAGTTCACAGTGGTGTCCCCTATCAAAAATATATCTTGGGATGAATGGGAGCAATTCACATCTAGATCGAAATCCACATTATCAGTTACAGTTGAACTCAGCAGAACAGTAGATGATGAATTGAGTCCCTCATCCGTAGTAGAAGTTATATTTGGGCAGTTCAAAATAGGTGCTTCATCATCTGCAAGATAACAGAAATTTTGACAAATTACATCAATAAATATTTTACGAGAAAACAATCATGTTAGTCAACTTCCAGGTGACAAAATCATGTAAAGGAACAGACTTCCGGTCGATTAAAAATTGTAAGATACATTTCATTTCATGAACAGAAATTTGTTTATATGATACAGCATGTTAAATTGAGCAAAAACACTTACAACTATTAATTTGTAGATCACATCCTTCAAAAGAAATCTTCTTTCAACATTCTTAATCTTAAACCCGCTCGGTGAAAGAACTTTTAGACATAAAGAATAACCATATTCACACCTGTTACTGTGACAACGAGAAGACAATACTCAGTGTTTCCTGCAGCATCTGAAGATGAACAGTTCACAGTGGTGTCCCCTATCAAAAATATATCTTGGGATGAATGGGAGCAATTCACATCTAGATCGAAATCCACATTATCAGTTACAGTTGAACTCAGCAGAACAGTAGATGATGAATTGAGTCCCTCATCCGTAGTAGAAGATATATTTGGGCAGTCCAAAATAGGTGCTTCATCATCTGCCAGATAACAGAAATTTTGACAAATTACATCAATAAATATTTTACGAGAAAAGAATCATGTTAGTCAACTTTCAGGTAACAAAATCATGTGAAGGAACAAACTTCCGGTCGATTAAAAATTGTAAGATACATTTCATTTCATGAACAGAAATTTGTTTATATGATACAGCATGTTAAATTGAGCAAAAACTCTAACAACTATTAATTTGTAGATCACATCTTTCAAAAGAAATCTTTCAACATTCTTAATCTTAAACCCGCTCGGTGAAAGAACTTTTAGACATAAAGAATAATCATATTCACACCTGTTACTGTGACAACGAGAAGACAATACTCAGTGTTTCCTGCAGCATCTGAAGATGAACAGTTCACAGTGGTGTCCCCTATTAGGAATATATCTTCAGATGAATGAGAGCAAATAACATCTAGATCAAAATCCACATTATCAGTTGCAGTTGAACTCAGCAGAACAGTTGATGACGAATTGAGTCCCTCATCCGTAGTAGAAGATATATTTGGGCAGTTCAAAATAGGTGCTTCATCATCTGCAGGATAACAGAAATCTGGTCAAATTACATCAATAAATATTTTACGAGAATGAAATCCTGTTTCTCAACTTTCAGGTGAATAAATCATGTAAAGGAACGATCCGGTCGATTAAAATGGTACGATAAATTTTATTTAATGAACAGGATTTTGTTCATATCAAACAACATGTTTAATTGAGCAAAAACCCTTTACATTCTTAAAATGTAAATCACATGATTCAAAAGGAATCATCTTTTAACGAATATTAAATATCCCATAATCAAAAACCCGATCGTTAAAAGAACTTTAAGACACAAAGAATAATCATATTCACACCTGTTACTGTGACAAC